ACTTGCATCCCGAGGCAACTAGGAATTACACAAGCTTCAGTCTGGATCCAACCCTTACGAAGGTCTGAGATGACCGAACACCTGAGAAGACATGATGCCAACCCCCCAGAAGACCTCAGATGATGCTAACCCTGGAACAACATATAAAACTACCAAATTTTGCTTAATCGCAAAGTCTAATAGCAACATATAATCATTGCAGTTAATAGTGTTCACCGTCTGTTCAATTATTTGTAATTTGTAACTAACTGCATGATTCTTACTGTACATTTCTGCCATAGTCACCACTAATAACCTACTCCTAAATATAATGTAGAAACGTAAAATTTTCTGTAAAGCTGCTTTGCAATGATTGGTATCGTAAAAAGTGCTATACAAATCAACTTGAAACTTGAAATTAAGGTTCTGTCATGGCCGTCCCAGGCCTAACCCCTATAAAAAATGAGCAAGGTGAACTGAAGAGGAGAGGTTCCAACCTGGCCCAGGGAATATGAAGGATCTGGAGAGGTTCTGTTGGAAGAATGAGCTCTGCTCTATTGCCAGGTGATCTCTAACCTCATCTGGCAGAAGACGACTCTACTGTTATCTGTTGGCAAATGGAGGTTGCAAAAAGTATTGAATAAAAGGTGGCCAATTATTGTGGCCACGGTGTACTGAAGAAAAACATTTATTTTCGTAATGAGATTTTCCCCCTATTTTGTTTTACTGAATTTTTTAATGAAGAATCAATAGGATAAACAATGCAAATTTTCACAGCCTTCTTTGCTAAAATTCACCAAGGGGGCTTAACTGTGTATATGTGCCCATGCAATGAAAGTCAGTGGGGTTCAGTGTTGGCCCCCAAACTAAACTTAAAAAAGATACATAAACACTTTATTTAGTTAAATAAACATTAACTGAAATGAAACTTAATATTAAAAAAATTTTCTTTCTCATTTTTGATTAAAGGGATAGTTCACCCAGAAATGTAAATTTGATGTTTATCTGCTTACCCCCAGGGCATCCAAGTTGTAGGTGACTTTGTTTCTTCAGTAGAACACAAACAAAGATTTTTAACTCGAACCGTTGCAGTCATATATTGGAAGTGAATGGGAATCACGGCTTTGAGAGTCCAAAAAATATACACAACAAAACCAAATTAAACTCTGCGGCTCGTGACGATACATTGATGTGTAAAGACACAAAACGATCAGTCTGTGCAAGAAACTGAACAGTATTTATTTCGTTTTTTACCTCTGATTCACCGCAATGTCCAAACTGTCCTGAGCGCATTCGTGTCTTCTTCTTCAGCCGGTGCGTGACGCGTCTTCTTCTTGTTTTATGGCAGATCACAGACTTATAAGTGCATTACCGCCACATAGCTCTCAAATGGACCATTGACACTCTATCTACAGTCTCAATTAGGAGTGTCAATGGTCCATTTGAGAAATACTGTAGGTGGCGGTCAGGACAGTTCGGCCATTGCGGTGAATCAGAGGTAAAATACGATATAAATACTGCTCAGTTTCTTGCACAGACCGATCGTTTTGTGTCTTTACATATCAATGTATCATCACGGGCCACAGGGTTTAATTTGGTTTTGTTTGTGTATGTTTTTTTGACTCTCAAATCTGTGATTCCCATTCACTTCCATTATATGACTGACAGACTGCAACGGTTTGAGTTAAAAATCTTTGTTTGTGTTCTACTGAAGAAACAAAGTCACCTACATCTTGGATGCCCTGGGGGTAAGCAGATAAACATCAAATTTTCATTTTTGGGTGAACTATCCTTTTAAGCTGAAGTACTGAAATAACTAAATCTATATAAACTAAAACTAATAACTGAAAATTATTAAATCCTATATACATAAATTTAACAAAAACTGAAATAACAAAATGACTAAAACTTTAACTAAAATTAAAATGAAAATGTAAATGTAAAAAAAGGTTTTCTGTAAATATAATCTTTCATTTGAAGTCAAAGTTATGATATGGTTTAAGAGGACTTGGAACATATTTATGAAATAAAAAAATACCTTTAGGATGCTTTTCTTTTGAATCAGCACATAGTCAACACCCACTGTCATTTAGTGGAAAACAGTAGCTCAGATATCACATTAAATGTCTAATTTTGTGTTCCATAGAAGTAAACACAGGTTTGGAATGACATGAGGGTGAACACCTTATTCACAGCATGAGTGACATAAGATGTTAGTGAAGTCCTCTACTGGTGGATTGGGTTTTCTCAGCCTTTTACAGCTTTCAACTGCACAGAGATCATAGAGAATTCAGGCACAGCATAGGGCAATCATACTGATTAAATCCATTCAATCAAACTGATAGACAGAGCCTGTCAACACTAGTTCTAACACTATTGCTGTAATAATCATCACAATGTTATGTGTCGAGGCTTAGAGCAAGAGAGTGGGCGAGAGACGGAGAGGAGCAAGTGTATCAAGATGGGAGATCCCCCTCAGCTGTGGGTGATTACAGGGTGACAAAACAGTAGGTGGGGCTGCAGATATCTAACAGCACTGTCCTGCAGTGCCGCCATGCGTCTGGCATTGAAAGAGCAGGCAAAAAACGTATCTAGGTTGAACAGCTCCACCTACTGTACTGCTCATGGCAGGTATATTTTAAAACAAAACAAATGTAATATAATTCATATAACATAAATATAAAAATTATATACAGGCATCTACATTACACACACACACACACACACATACATACGTACATACAGTACATACATACATACATACATACATACATACATATATATATATATATATATATATATATATACTCTATATAATACAGTAATACAACACTCTACTTAATTGAATGTTTTTAAAGACACTCCGTTGTCTCTTTTTACTTTACTGACTTGTGCTGTTAAACTGTTGTATATAAATACAATATTACACTCATAGCCATGCGATATGCCTGTATATCAGCACACTGTGATTGCCCGAGGAATCCACGCTGTGAATCACAGCCATATTGCACCGCTACTCATGTGATATTGCTTATAAATATGATCTATTCTTTAATGAACAGAAAGAAAGAAAAAAAATGGCATGACATTTTGGTAACAGTGGAAAGTCTTTACTGTTACTTTCTTATTAATTTAATGAAAACTTGTTACTTCTTTAATGTCTGTCTACTCTGTCTGTAACTTTAATAATGTCAAAATGACCACAAAAAACAATGTCTATAAAAATATATATTCAGATACACAACTACCCTGTTAGAAGCGTAAATAAAAAAAATTAATACAAATTAAAATCCAGTTCTTATGCTCAGATACAGTGCGGTGGAATATTATGCCCAGGAGAGGGCAGCCACTCTAGTATTATATAAAGTCATGACCATTGTACTTAAAGCTGTGTGATGCAATAATATCTCATAAATAAATGCATCTTACACTGTAATATAGCCAATAGCTATCATTGAATTCCTGCTATTTTCTATTATTCTACTGTGTGTCTGAATTTTTTTATATGTGAATGTCTGTAAGGATCTAGACAAATTGTGACGACAATATGAATTAAGAACATTGGAAACTAAGTAATAGATCAATCTCTGAATATGAGAGGGAAGTAAAGCATTGTCATAAAGAAATGATTTATGACATAATATCCATCTAGAAGATTGTTGTGGATATGTTAGTCTCTCAGCGCCTATTTTCCTAGTCTTAGACTTGCTTAATGATAGAACACTTTTTATAGAAAAATGGCTATACAATAGCAAGATTTTTTGCCTTTAACATCCTCTACTACTCATGTGTAGTTTAGGCTGTTTGCTAGCATAAATATATGACAATGGCTATCCACAGTTTATTTGACACCTGAAAATAAGCAATACATTGGTATGAAAGAATTTGAAATAAAAGGTATACTGAGTATTTGCTTTGTGTCAAAAAAAACTTCTACACACACTATAAATAACACTCATATTTACCTTCAGCAGACTATTTTATTCACCCTGTAAAACATAATCATGTGTGGGTATTGTATAATTTGTTATCCATGATTTAGTGAGGGGGAAAAGGAAGTCTGAATGGGTGTGAATAAGGGTCAGACTGTCCAGACCCCCAGAGCAGTTTTTAGCTGGCCCTGCTGTGACCTTTTGTCTGACAGCAGATGGAATGGGCTCTCTGGCTGCATTAGCATCTAAATAGCTCAGAGAAATGACAGAGGAGAGAGATAAAATAAGGTGAGTTCTGCCCTACAGACATGAATAACAGGAGATACACAGAAAGACACACAAACATAGGTAGAGTCGTTTTTCACAAACTACAAAAGATGAACTACACAAGAATGTATTTTTAGGTATGCTTTTTAAAGGGATAGTTCACCCAAACATTGTATTTTGTCATCATGTATTCACCTGATATTGTTTCAAACCTGTATGGCTTTCGTTTACTTCTGCTGAACATAAGAAGATTATGAAGATATTATGAGAAATGTCTGTTTCTGAGTGAGTGAGTGAGTGAGTGAGTGAGTGTGTGAGTGAGTGAGTGAGTGAGTGAGTGAGTGAGTGAGTGTGTGTGTGTGTTTTGTCCATAAAATAGTAGTCAAAGGTAATCAAAAAGGTTTGGTTACCAAATTTCTTCAAAATATCTTATTTTGTGTTCTGCTGAAGAAATAAGGTCATTCAGATTTAGAACAACATCAGGGTGAGTAAATGATGACAATTTTGACTATTTTTCGATCTCTTTAAATTGAATTGCTGATTATAAAATGATCAGTGCTGCGTTTCCCAAAAGCATCTTAAGCTTAGGTACATCGTAGACCCATTGAAACCAATTGAGCTACGATCAACTTAGGGTAACGATGCTTTTGGGAAACACAGCCCAGAATAGTTTGTTTTAAATTAATAGTTCACACAAAATCAAATTTGCTTAAAACATTTGAAGAAATTTAGCATTACATCACTTGCTCACCAATAGATCATCTGCAGTGAATGGGTGCCATCAGAATGAGAGTCCAAACAGCTGATAAAAAAACATCTCAATAATCCACATGACTCCAGTCCATCAATTAATGTCTTATAAAGCAAAAAGCTGTTTGTAATAAATCATCATTAAGGCTTTTTTAATTTTAAAATATCATAATCCATAATAATGCTTCCTCCAGTGTAAAAATAAATCCAATGTCCTGCTTTCCTCTCACATCAAAATCCACTGATATTTATCTTGCCTGAACTGTATTTCTCTCCTAATTCAAATGAGATGACTTCCACTGGAGAAAGCAACATTATAGATAGAGGACTTCTTTAAAGTTAGAAACGTCTTGATGGCTTTGTTTCTCACAAACATGTGGCTTTTCACTTCACAAGGCTTTAACTGATGGACTGAGTCATGTGAATTATTTGTTATATGTTTTTATCAGCTGTTTGGACTCTCCTTCTGACGCCACCCATTCACTGCAGAGGATACATTGGTGAGCAAGTGTTGTATTGTTAAATTTCTCCAAATCAGTTCTGATGAAGCAACAATCTCATTTATATCTTGGATGGCCTGTAGGTGAGTAAATTTTAATTTTTGAATAAACTATTTCTTTAAGTAGACACAAACTCTAGAAACAAACCGAATGAACATTCAAATCAGCCCTTGGATCAGACTGTCAAACCAGTTCTGCTTTCTCTCTTACAGACACACACGTCACAAACTCACCTCTGAGATCTCTTAGCGGAAAACAGTATGGCACAATTGCATAATTGAGATGCAGGAGGTGCAGTCTCAAGCTCGGAGAACACAGGAATCCCAGGTATAATAAATTATGCTCAAAAACCAGACTCACACTCCTAAATTGACATAATGAATTTGCGCACTATTAGGATCCAGCCAAGTAATTATGTAGACTAATGAATCTAATGCAGAGACAGTTGCATGAAAACTGCTGAGATGTATTTGGAAGTTCAATAACAACAGGGTTTAAAACACGTCAGGAATTACGATTTCCCAACCACACCAGAAAGCAATCAATATACACGCACACACGCATTGGAGAAACTAGGTCCTAAGGGATGCCTCTGTCTGGAACAGGTCTCCAACGCATGGCAATCAGCCAGATTGATTCAAGATAAAAAGAAGATTAGAGAAGAGAGCTGGAAAAGGGGGACCAAAGGAAAAAAGAAAGGAGGGACAGAGGGCAAGATGAAGGCTAAGTAGAATGCAAGCGAAACGGGAAATCAAAAAGAACCAAAGAAAAACAAACAAATGGCTTAGTGTTAAAGGGGATACTAAGCTGTCTTGCCGTCTGTTCTCATTGGTCTTAATGCTCAGACAGACTGAGACTGTTTCACTCCTCCTCTTGATTGCTGCATATTTCATTCCTTTACTTTCCATTTCACAATTTCCTTAAGTGATCTCACATTGACTAAATATTTAATGTCTCCTTGGTCATTCTTACACTGGTTTTCTATCATGGATTCTTTCACGAGTTCACCCTTACATCTAATGCTGTCCTGGGGTAGGGCTCCAAGCCCGGAATATAACCCGGAATATAACCCGAACCCAGAGAACTCCCCCTATCCCTAGTATGGGATGAGAATAGATTAAGAGTGAGGAGTTGAGGTGGAGGAGGGATGCCGGAAAACTGTCGTAGGATAGAGGTAAGTATGCTGCATATAGACTGTATATACACATATTGTGCTAGTTAGGATGATTAGCTAAACGAGTTACACCTGTGCCAAATTGGTTGATTATCTGATCGTGCTCCTCCTGAACCTTGTTAATAAAACGTCATTTGACTTCTATTGTTTTGTTTTTTTTTAGATCTGAAAGTAATGATATTTTCTATTTTCTAACTCTTCCAGAAACTGTTTGCATCTTCATGTTTTCATTAAGACATTATTTAGTATGTTTATTAAGCTGTTTTCCTCTTGGAGAGCATCGCCTGCTACACACAATGTAGCTGATTTACTATCCTTATACAGACATTTGTTCTGCTCTCAGTGGCCTGTCTTGAAACCACTGCATCATTGTTTAAACTTGTGAATAAAAAGAATGAAATAATATCTGATTTCTATCGTAAAACACGCCACCCCAGCCTACCATAAATCTTGCTCTGCAGTCTGCATATCATCTTTTCTGTCAACTGTGCATGAAAATCAACAACAATCAACTGTTGAGCATGTGATGTATTGTTTCCCACAGCTGTGATTCACGCACAGGTTTATGCTGCCTCTGTGAATTTAAAAAGCTTGGAAAACACTTTTGTGATATATATATAATATAAAGCTCTTCAAATATGACTTTACTACCACACAATTTTTGCCCACCCAAGCACAAAAGTGGTTTTCCCCTGAACAAAGCACAAAAAATGTTGCATCTTATCGTTGGTATCCCACTGTAAATCACTTTTTTTCTCTGTATGTCACAATAACCGTCTCCTATTATTTAACTCACTTATTCTGTTCTTTCTAAATCTTGACCTCAAATTTTACTCAAGTGCATTAAAACTACTTATTTTAAGGGAAGCGCAGCTATGCATCCACTAAAATCACTTTGGAATAAGTTTGTTAAATCTAAAAATATGTTTGCAGATGCCACTTATTTTGACATTTTATTATTGAATGCAATGACATTCAGATATTTTAAAGAGTCTCACCACATCAAAATGTTGCATATCAAACAGAAGAAACACTGCCATTCAAAAGTTTTGGGTCAGTAAGTTTTAAGTAGAATTCAATACTTTTATTCAGCAAGGACACAATAAATTAAGTGACAATAAAGATATTTATAAAATTACAAATATATGTATAATAAATGCTGTTTTTATTTAATGTATTTATTTAATTAATTACATTTCTATTCATCCCAAATCTTTGGAAAAATAAAACAGCAGCAAATCAGCATATCAGAATGATTTCTGAATGATCAAGTGTCACTGAACACGGAGTAATAACTTTAAAAATTCATCTTTGTATCACAGGAATAAATTACATTTTAAAATGTGTTAAAATAGAAAATAAAACAAAAATATTTCATAATATTACTGTTTACAGTACAATGTTTTTACTGTATTTTGTCTTAGTGAGCATAAGAAACTTCTTAAAAACCATTAAGGGCCAGATTTACTAACAGCTTGCGCCAGCGCAAACCGTCTTTTGGCATTAAAATAGTACTGTCAGGGTTTACTAAAGACGCACAATGAAGAATTAGCACTGAAAAGGCGTGGGCAGTTATTTTTGCGCCTGACCTTATTGAATATGCATTTGTAGGAGTTTCACTTTTTAAGTTTTCCCTTTTTCCCGTATTAAAATGAATCATGCAACCTAATGCCATTATTTAACGCCCCAAAAAAGCATGTCTTAAAGTAGGCGGTAATTTACACTGCTCTTGGTAGATTGCACTGGTCATTATGGAAATTATCTGGCTGTGAGTGTGTTCTTTAATGTGTGCATTGTCAGTAAATCACCCACAGAATTTTCCCCTTTCATCTGCGCTTTTATGGAATTGCGATCTAACGCTAATTTGCCCTGTTTAGTAAATCTGGACCTAAAAATGTTACCGACCACAAACTTTTGAACATTACTGTATTCAAGTCTGCAACTTAATTGTGCAGCTATAGTTATGGTACAGTTACAAATTGTGCGGCTGTAAATAAACATCACAAAAAAAACAAAAAGGTCTCTCATAGTCTAAGGAAAAGAATTATACTTCATAAAATTCATAACATTTCACCAAGGTCCAAATTTCTGCCCTTGCAACTGTTATTAATCAACATAGAAACTATTTGCAGAATCTAATCAGGAAGCCTGTACATTTGCGTCTGTTGGCACTCTCTCATTCATTGGGAAAAGAACTGCAGCTGCTAGCTGCCAAGATCATTCGAGATGACATTGACCTATCACTCACCCTCGCACCTGTAACATCACATTCCACAAATCATCTCAGTCTCTCTGCCTTAAATCAACACTTTAGTTCATTGCGGCCTTGGTAATACTAAAAAGTCATTTTATGGGTGCTAAAAATAGCACGACTACCCTATTTATGTAGCTTAGGTCTCTCCTGCCAGTGGAAACTGTGGAAGCGTCTGCTCTAAAACTGCCCCCTTGTCACGCTGCCCACTGATCCATTCGCACTTGCTGCCAAGTGTCTCTGTATAAGACTGTGTGTGTGTGATTATGAGCATTTGTGTGTGTCTGTACAGTCTATATGTAAAATACTTCAACGTTTTGATTTTACAGCCTCTCATTCTAAAACTAAATAGGATACACTGAAATAAGATTTGAAGTAATCTACAGCACAGATAAGGGGGAGGGATGTGGAACACAGATGAAGGGATGAAAAAAAGATGCAATACACAGCTAAGAGACACAAGTTTTTTTTGTCTATTTAAGAGGCTGTTTTAATATAGCACTGCTCTAATTGAGAGTGTGTGAGAGATGAACCCCGTGTTTATGGAAAACACCGAGCACAAGGCAGTGGCAGGAAAACATGTGAAAGAGAAAAAGAAAGAGTATATACTTAATAGTATATACATACTCTCCAATGTATGTGTTTGTATATGTACTGGAAGAATCTGAGACCACTAATGAAACTATCACTTGTTTTATTGGGCTTGCATTTTTAGGGGAATAAAATAAAAAATAAAAATCTATATAATAAAGTATAATAAGTTTTAAATATTTTAAATAATTCTTAAATACAAAAACAAAACCAATTATTAAATCATAATTTTAATATATAACTTTCACATTTATATAAATTTTTTATAATTAATTTTGAATTAAAGTGTATTAATTTAAATCCATAAAATGGTTTCCAGGCTAACAATGTTTTTCAGCATGATTTGAGCATCAAGCATCTGACCATCTCCACAAAAGAGTCTGCCTGGTCACAATAAGACTTACATTAAGTCTTACATTAAGATTTTCAATGTGGTCTCAGACTTCTGAACCCCATTGTGTGTATATAAACTGCAACATCTCATGTGTTGAATAGCTTTAATGGCTTTTTAGATGTGTGTGTGTGTGTGTGTGTGTGTGTTTGTTTGTTTGTGCATTTATCTGCCTCTCTGCTGTGTGACAGACTCCCTGGGCTCATATTTAGTTACAGCTGATCACTCCCAGACCAGAGACAAGAAAGGGAAAGAAAAAGAGAGAAGAGAGTGAGGGGGAAAAAATGAGTGAGTGGAATAAGGTGAGAGTGCATTTTCTGTCAGTAACCTGTTATCTCACGTCTCCCCACTGCTACGGCTGCCAGATTGAGTGGGTGAGCGATGAGAGTGGAAGCCTCCACACCCCAAAAGTGCAACAGAAATCGTGACTGGATTCCACTGCCACTCTATATTCACTGTTCACTTGGTCCCACCGTGACGCAAACACACAAAAACGTGGGCATATTCTTCTACACACCAGAGACCTGAAGCAGAGCATATATTGTGCTAACAATGTCAAGAACATGCACTCTCTACTGTGAACTATTTAGGTCAATTTGTTTCCTTCTATCCCAGAAACAACTACAAATAAGCCATTAGTTAAATTTTTATATATATTTTTTAAATATAAAATTATGCTTATATCCTGACATAATCATATATAAATTGTTTATTCACTATAGCTAAAAGTATAAAATGAAGTATAATATAAAGTATACAGTAAATATAATTTTTTTTTTAATCTAAAAATATTTAATATTTATATTAAATATAAAATAAACATTTTAATGTTTATATCTTGACATGATGTGCAAGTCATTTATAAATTATCTTTGTATGCAATATACACTTTATCTAAAACTAAATAAATAAAGATATAGATAAATATAAATTTAGGTATATTTTTTTATTTCATAATGTGTGTATACAGGTGCATCTCAATAAATTAGAATGTCGTGGAAAAGTTCATTTATTTCAGTAATTCAACTCAATTATTACGTTTTCATCTTGGTCTGAATTTGTTCCCTTTCCATTCCAGATTTCAAGCATTATCTATTTCACTAGAGCTCAAGGTTTTCACTAACTGCTGTCAGACACAACTGCACACACAGAGTCCAAACGAAGCCGGGGTCATCACTGTGTCCTTCAATGTGTCCATACCATACACATACTCTCCACACACACACACCTACATGACCTGCCCTTTATTCTCAGAAATATGATAGGAGATGAATATTTTGAGTGACAGTCTGCTCCCTGAAGGCTGTAGAGGAGGCACAGAAACAAACTAGGTCTCAGAGGAATAGATTCAGAATCCAGATTTTGTACAAGCTTTCAACCATATTCCAAAAAAAAAAAACCCTAGATAAAAAATAAGATGCATGAGGTGGGTGTATTTCACAACCACCTCTATCTTATTACGTTTTCATCTTGGTCTGAATTTGTTCCCTTTCCATTCCAGATTTCAAGCATCATCTATTTCACTAGAGCTCAAGGTTTTCACTAACTGCTGTCAGACACAACTGCACACACAGAGTCCAAACGAAGCCGGGGTCATCACTGTGTCCTTCAATGTGTCCATACCATACACATACTCTCCACACACACACCTACATGACCTGCCCTTTATTCTCAGAGATATGATAGGAGATGAATATTTTGAGTGACAGTCTGCTCCCTGAAGGCTGTAGAGGAGGCACAGAAACAAACTAGGTCTCAGAGGAATAGATTCAGAATCCAGATTTTGTACAAGCTTTCAACCACATTCCAAAAAAAAAAAACCCTAGATAAAAAATAAGATGCATGAGGTGGGTGTATTTCACAACCACCTCTATCAAAATGTGGATCTTTGTTGACATTTCATATGAAACAAGGTTATGCTGTTGATTATTTCAATTCATAGGACTAACATTGACATTAAACTACTTGCGCAAAATTGCATTAGAGGTAAATGTCATCAAATGACTAAACATGCCAAAACCCGTGTGATTGGTGCTTTATGATGGACTTTTTTCTAGTACATTTCAAACTAACAAACACAGTCATTTCAAAAAGTAACCAGTTCTTTAATACTCACTCCCACTGTTTTCGTCGTGCCTGTGGAGTGCTCTGCAGTTTATGGGATTGGTGTGCTTTGATGACATCACGGTGGTCAACTAGGCCTCCTCTCCGTCTGATGGGAGGAACCAGAGAGTCACTGGGCATCAAAGAGTAAAGTGTCCCATCCGTCACTACGGTTTCCCCTCCATTGGTTTTGCTATAGTCAAAGGAGTCAACTGGGCATGCTTCATCACTCATGTCATACACAGTATGATAGTAGGTGGGGTTGGCACAAACACTGCTTCCGCTGGTGGGAGGATGAGAGCGCAGTCTGTGGCCCTGAGGTTGCACTCTCCCTCCTTTCCGCAAGGGCGGCGCTCTCTCCATGATGACTGAGCTGTCTGCATACATGGGAGACAGCATGGCTCTATGGGGGTAGAAAATACAGAAGTGAATATATTAATACAAACATGTTTTTAGTGTAATTTTTTTGTAGAATATGGATACTAAAGTGAAATTAAAAGAAAAAAGATATTTTATATTTTTGTGATGAGTGATGTTGAATTATTTGAATTATTATTTATATATTACAATAACCTTATTTCTTTATTGAAACACTTCTATTGTGATTCTAATACTGAAAATAAATTTTATATATATATATATATATATATATACATTTGAAGCATTATTGTTCTTCTTGTTTTTGTTGGTATTACTATTATTGATAATTATTTTTAATTATATGTTTTTTTTAATGGAACACCTATTCTGAGATGGTAATGCTACAAATATAGAAAGAGTCAATATTTTATTTATTTATTTATTTGTTTGCAGCATTATCAACACCATCAGAGCAATATTTTCCAATAAAAAAAATAACACAGTTATATAATTAAATAAAACGTCTTTATTAGAAAATATTTATAGTTAAGTTGTTCATAATACTATAAATCATCATCATAATAATAATAATAAAAACTGACAGCAACAATAAATAAATAAATAAATAAGCAAAAGGAAGTGAAGGGGAAAATATGTGACGTGTAATCAAGTGGGAAAGGGAAGCAGAGAGAAGAAAAACACCAAGGGAGGTTTAATTAAAACAGGCTGCATAGTTGTTTCGAGAAAATTGCAATAGGCCAACGTCAGGTGAAAATAAATGATGCACTCTGGTACTACAATTTATGCTGACGGTGTTTGAAGAATTTGTCCACTGTGACACGGGCAGAGGAATAAAGTAATTTAAAGTGACACATACACACTCAACAATTTCAAAAATAAACTCACACATGCACAGACAAAATGCAATGCTGTGATCTTCCCCAAAGTACAAAGAGTAGATAAAAGCAAAGACACAGATGGAGTAAAGCACAGTGGCCAAAACGTGAATGGAATACATTCGCACTACAGTCCTTATTATGGCTGTGCTCTTTGTTGACAGGCGGGTTTTGTTGTCAGGCTGTGATTAGGAGAGACACAGCTTGTCTCAATGATCAGACACTAAAGATGGAACTAACTAAATCTGCCTCTTTATTTTTGGCCAATGGAGAGCAAAGCCATGCCAGTTCCAACAGGGAATATATTCAGTGAGGTGAAGGAGAAACAGAAGACATCCTGAAAGGCCTTCAAACACTTTTAGGTCTCTTCCTGGAGCCTGGCAGTATTGTGACATTCATGTTTTTGTATTTTTAGTCAGGAACACATCTCATCCTTTTTTAAAGGGTTTGATGCATCGGCTGCTTCCTGGACAAGACAAAAGAAACCCGCTTTTCTTTGTCTGCTAAAGCGACAACACCATAAATCTCGCTGTAATGGCAAGGTAAAGCATAAGCATAGCCACAAAAGGTAGTAAGACCCAATTTTGGATGATTTAATTTGCATCATTGTGTGTTACAGCAAGTGGCCATTTGTGTGGGTTGGATGTCCATTGCACCAGCCCACAGACAGCCTCACCATTGTGTGGGTGTGTATGAATACGTGCAATTAGGGTGACATTTACAAAGTTCTCCAAAACCACAAAAACTTACCCATGGAAATAATGGCCATCACAATCCCTACTCAAAGATGTCAAGTATCAAACTCAGTTTTTCTGAACTCGATTTTTATACTTCTCTCCAGTGTTAGGCATTTCACATGGCTGCATATTAAAATGTATTTTATAGTGAACTGTAATCAGAAACGGTTGATGAAATTCAGTCTCAGCCAATTCTGCTGCTGACATGTGTATTGTTATATAGGAGTGCAAAGGAAAATCTTTGAACACACAATAAAATGATTTGCTGCATTTAGTACCATTCAGAGCATAAATAATATGCTATCTGCTGAGTGAACACATTATGATAAATAGCTCTGGCTATAAGCCATCGCACCGAGAACAGCAAAAGATGGGCAGAAGATCATCTAACAAATGCAAAAGTCTGTGTTAAACACAACCAATACTATGGTATAGTGAATATAACAGGAAGGCCTAGGAAAATCACATATTTACATGGTACTTCAAGGTAATTCAAAGAATACCATAGTTTGGCCATGTTACATTACCAAAGGGATCGTGGAATTTTATGGTACTTTTCAACAAAAGAAAGATTAAAATTATAATTCTTCTCAGATGTCAGAGATATTCCAAGTAGAGATATTTTTATGTACCAAAAATAGATAGACAGACAGACAGACAGACAGACAGACAGATAGATAGATAGATAGATAGATAGATAGATAGATAGATAGATAGATAATATAAAAATACATAAAATGTATAAATAAATATTCACAGATGAAATTAGGTTATTTTGTAAAATAAAAGATTTCTAATATATAATTAGTATTTAATGTTATAACATAATTTACACACATTTTATATTTTACAAGATATATACATTTCATTTTTGTATTTAGAGCAAAATATTATATAGACATAATATAGACATATCTTTAAAGGGGAAAAATAAAGGGAAAGAAATAAAGAAATATTAAGCAATTGTGAAGATAATAAAGAGACAAACACTTTCCACGACACTCACCAGAGAGGTTTGTGTTTTTTCTGAGAAGATCCTGGAATCTGGACCCGTCCGGATCACCTGTAGTTTATAACTGACAAAACTACCAATAAAACTCCACAAACTGAATGGTCCGAGGTCCGTTTTCTCAGAGCAGGAGGTCATATCCATCTTCAAGCTCGGAACATTCTGTCTTTAAGTATTTTTGTTGAGCAAAACAGATAATGTTGTATGTTTTCTCAGTGCACTCTTTTGATTCTCGTCAGATGTGACAATCAAGGCTCTCGAGAAACGACTCTACGCGGCGCGAGACCCGCTTGCACTTGGACGAGTAGTCTCGCTCTGCGCGCGTAACGGATACGTGACTGTACTGGCGCTGAGAGCAGTGTCGCGCCGATTAAAACTACGCGTTTTGACCGCTTCTGCGCGGTGGCTGGAGAGACTATGGTTATTTGTATCTTCTCTTCATTACGCAGGTTTATTATGAGAGTGTACACATTATTTATGTAAAGGCAAATTTCACTGATCAGACAGAGGGCTACGTAATGAAAATGCATTAACGAACAGTAATATTTCTTAGAATAATTTATAATAAAATATAATTATGGATTAGGAATTAGCCAATACGCGTGATCAGACGTAAGAAAAGGGGTCTCTGAATTGTCAAATGACGGTAAAATGCTGACTCAGCGTCTTACTCAGCTTTGACCATCAATGACATAAAACATTTGTCATAATAAATGAAATTGGACACACAATAATACATTCATATTTCTTATACAAGTATTTCTTATGTAAAGGGTTATATATATATATATATATAAAATTGTTGTAATATATAATTCAAAATGCAATAAAATCAAAAATAATATCAACGCAGAAACAAGGTGGATTTCAACCAGACAATTCTGAATTGTTTAACATTTTCAGTGAGTGCATAATTTCTCAAATAGGTTTTATTTCAAATTATTAAACCAGACTGATCCCTCATATTCATGAAAGTTAGATTTATTGTGGATAAAGATAGGGCATCAAATTAGACGATATGTTTGCCAATCAGAAAACATGACTAGATGAGAAGAACCATATAATAGGCCTAAATTATAATATTGTAGGCAATGTGATCAGAGAAAATGTTACCACCTAGTGGTGTAATAGGTTATAGACAAATAAAAAATTTAATTTACCATCAAACATGGTTAAGTTTTTTGAAGAAAACACCTTAGTGTTATAAAACCAACAGTCCAAAAAAACCCCCCACATTGCTCCTATTAATAAGAAAAATATTACTTCCAAAAAAAACAGCTGAGTTGCCAGTTGTTCCTTAAATCCTCCAGGCCTGTGCAGAATCCATCTTGGACACACTGAGAGGAACACATCTGGCATGCCTGTACAGTACTGTTTATCAGTTTGCAGCAGTATCTTCTCAGAAAAACTAAATCTCTCAGAATAAAAGGCTTTTTTAAACTTCCATCCGCACATTTAGTCAGAAGCAGCAGCAGCAGGATGAATACATTAACATCAATCTCTAGTTTTGCACTTCAAAGTGTCCTAATTAGCACTAATTACTTGTGTATATATGAAAATTACAGCCACAAAGAAATGTTTGAAGCAGCGCACAAAATCGCTCATTTATTTCTCAAAATCATTCACAGCATATGAATATTTTAGCATAGTGTGATAACATACATAAAAACAACCGGTGAGCACAGAGAAAACTTGAAACGATCGTACAGGAGCTACATCTGTCAATTTGTCAGCCTCTGATTGGCCAGCTGGGCTGATGAGTGTACGTCCCTGCGTTCCAGGACTGTGGGTGGATCAACTGGTTTTCATGCCATCCCTGCTGAGATGGCTTACTGGGTTTGGATTATTTGTTAAGTTAGATTTATTGTGGATAAAGACAGGGCATCAAATTAGACGATATGTTTGCCAATCAGAAAACATGACTAGATGAGAAGAACCATATAATAGGCCTAAATTATAATATTGCAGGCAATGTGATCAGAGAAAATGTTACCACCTAGTGGTGTAATAGGTTATAGACAAATAAAAAATTAAATTTACCATCAAACATGGTTAAGTTTTTTGAAGAAAACACCTTAGTGTTATAAAACCAACAGTCCAAAAAAAAAACCCCACATTGCTCCTATTAATAAGAAAAATATTACTTCCAAAAAAAACAGCTGAGTTGCCAGTTGTTCCTTAAATCCTCCAGGCCTGTGCAGAATCCATCTTGGAATTCAAACATCACACAATTTCGTCAGAGAAAGCCATAAAACTATACCTAGTTGAACAATAATGGCATAGGTTAAATGTGCAACAATTGTAATCTAATACACACAATTGTAGATTGATGGCTGGCATATAAACTAACATTTAATAAACGACTATAGAGATTCACATTTATAAATTTAGCATAGATCTTTAATTCCATCGATGTTATCATTTAAAACATATTATTACGTAACGTACAAAACGTAAATCTGATTTAATCTCGTCTAATCATTAGCCGAACTGTTGCTAACAGTGATGCTAACGAAAGCCGATCAAAACTCTCATCTCAGTCATCTCTTAAATAGTCTCAAATACGGACAAACTACTCACCGAAAAATCTTACTCGGTCGTCTTGGATCTGCCATGTTGTTCACGGTCATATTCTAATAAAATCCTAATAAAATTAAACCTTCCTTGGGCGCTTAGCAGCAGCACGTCAGCGAACAGCTGACCTGTGAAACTCGACTACGCCTCATTCTGTTGTATTTAAAGCTGTATGAGATGCACTTGCACCCCCTGCCGCTATGGAGTGTTATTGATAGATGATTGACAGACAAGAGACCTGAATGCATAACTGTGGTAACAGTGTAAAATATTTATTTGAGAGTCTAATAATAAAAGGGAAAATAATTATTAAAATACAAATAGCCTACTGTTAATCAAAACTGTGCTAACTGCTACTATTAAATCATAATTTTCAAACATCACCATATTGACAATGTGCTAATATCAAAACTCTAAATTCTAAACTTAAGTCTATAAAAGGGTGTAAAACATACAGATGGTATAGCATTCCATAGCAAGAATAAATGCATAATGAACAAGAACACAAGAGTCATGCAAACATTTGCACCCTTATATTTTATTTGTCTTCATGAATCCGTCTCTTGTAAATTCGGAGGTGCTGGATTCATCTCATTCAGTTCAACATCCCTCTCCGATTCCATGGTCATCGTGTGCCTTTAATAAATAAATAAATAACTACGAGAAAAAATATTGCATAGCATTTCACAATTAGATCCAGTATAACGGTGAACTGGTAAAATGTATACCTTGAATGTAGTGTAAGTCGCTTAAAAACTTTATGTGGGATGATTGTTTAAAGTCTCATAGGTGGAACAGTACTTCACATTTAGTGTGATTCAGCAGAAAGCAATTTTGGTATGCTTATATACTATACCTGCCCTCCTCTATATCCAGAACATTCTCTGGAAGCTGAACATTCGTGGTCTCAGGCAGAAGGAAGACCACACATCCACTGAGAACTGCAGTGGCAGCAAACACTAGAGAGGGTGCAAAGCGCCACATGTCCTCCAATAATATGACCATGGGAGCCAGCGAACTTCCGATACGTGCTATAAAAGAGGTGTAGCCCAAGCCGCACTGCCTAGGAAAGATACAGAGAAGCAGAGAAAGTTCTTTCATTTAAAAAAAAATGTAAAGAGGAAAATGTAAGTGTTTTGGTCCTTTTCTTAAAATATAAATACACAATACATAAATATTAGAATAATATTACATAAAAATGTAAAAGTTACCGGAGTACAGTAGGGTAAAGCTCAGATGTGTACAAGAAGGCAATGGTAAACGCTGCCTCAGAGAATCCCTTCCCAATAATTGCAATCCCTGTTCGCACAGCAGAAAACTCTGTGGATGAAACAACACAACAAAACCAATATATTATTTCTTAAATAATTAACATCCACCATAAAATTTGGTATAAAGAGGTGATGAAGAATGAAGGAGTACCTGTTGGGATTATACTGTTTAGTCCAATCAGAACTCCTGCTATAATGAGAGACCACGCCTGGCCATTTCTGCGTCCAATCCAATCCAGAGTGAAGTAGGTCCCGACCTTAGCTGGGACTTCAATAACTCCATAGACAAACTGCGTGAGATAGATGTTCAGACCAAACCCAGTGATGTTGAAGCTGATTCCATAGTAGGTAAAAGCAACTGCAAACCTGTAGATTTAAATGAAGACTGTCGATACACAGCGTTTGACTGTTGTTTCACAATGGAAAACAAACAAAAAAATTCCTCACATACCAGAAAATCCCTGAGAAAAACACAATCTTCCTCAGTTTCGGTGTCCTCACTAGATCCAGGTAGGAATGATTCTTGTTGGAGACCTCACCAACGGTGATTTTCTTTAAGGTCTTTTTAATCAAGAGGTAAAGGTTGATCAAAACTGATTATCATAATAATAACTTAGAGGATAGCTGGATATGTTTACCTCAGTGTCTAGTTTATGAGTGTAACTGTGCTTTCCATTCATCTTAGCACACTGAATGAGATACTTCTGCGCCTCTTCCACCCTGCCATTGGCAAGCAGCCATCTTGCCGACTCAGGAATCCACCGTTTGAGATAAAACACGCAAGAGAAAAATATTCATGTAGGCCTATCCATGAAGCACATTTAGAGGCCTAAAAATCCAGAGGTTTTTTTTTCACGTGCAGTTCCACCACTTACCACCAGGCAATTATGCCCACAAGGCAAGGTGAAGTCACTACCAGGATGAGGTGTCTCCAGTCCCTGATGAGATATGCCAGAAGAGCCAAAAGCATGTTCCCTACACTCCACCCGAGACTGATGATGGTACCTGTAAATGTGCGATGTTTAACGTCTGTCCACTCAACACCTGTAGAATGAGCAGAATTTATGAAGGTATTAATAGCATGCACATAAACAGCAAAATGGCATGACTGAGTCTGTGAAAAACAATAGTGATCGTGTCTTTTATTCTAAACCAGCATGATACGTGTGCTCAACCTGTTTTTCTTCTAGAATCTGATGTAAAACTTTTGGGATTAGAATTTTTTTTTTAAATCAAATACATGCAGCTTTAGTGAGCATTAGAGACTTTAAAAAGCATTAAAATCATTCATGAATCATTCACAAGAATATAAACCGGATCATCTTGGATTTCATGTTGACTAGAGAGATTGAAAAGAAATAAGAAAGTGATAGATACACAGGGCAACTGTGGTGATAGACATCCCGGTCAGGGCCAGTCCACACAAGGCTCTTGCTATGGCGAACATCACGTAAGATGTGGAAAAGGCTTCAACAATTCCAAAAATAGAACTGGCCACAAAGGAAACCTGAATCATCGGTTTACGGCCAAACCTGTGGAGTGATATAAAAAAAGATATATATAACCACACAGGATATTCGCACATTGAAAATCACATGGGAAACTGTGGATAAATTCTGTCATGCTTGTTACACAGATAGCCTGAGGTAAGCAGTTTTGATGTGTGACCTTCCGTGACAAATAATGAGATAAAGAATATTTGAACTCTGTTGTGAAAGCAAATAACAATTATAAATATGTACAAGTCAGCTATGCAGAACAAATCAAGGGGAATGAATCGTTTTTCAACCTCAGACATGTGAGTAGAGACACTTGATTGTAGAAAAGTCATGTGACAGGCTTTTAGCCTAAGGAATCTCGTATAAGGTCCATTGATGAAAGAAATGCTAGAAAATTAACACTCATAGGAAAAAAACCATGGAACAAATGGTTTTAGAACATAATATTAATAAAAAATAACATACTTATCTGCCAACTGGCCAAACATGACAGCACCTATTGTCACTCCAATGAAGAAAAACGTGGCAAGGGCTTGGTTAAGCTTTTTGTTGTCACATACCAAATCCCACTGGAACAAGAGAGAGAAATCATACCTCAATATACAAGCTTTTATGCTTGTGTATTAAGATAAGATTAACCAAGCTAAACCAAGATTAACATATTTGTTAGAGAATACACTGGTGAAATAAAGTTCATTTTTACGGCACCCTTTCAAAAGGGGTAAAAGACAAAGTCCTTCTAGCTTTTGAAGTCGATATAATAAGTAACATATACTCAAAATATCATCAACATATAAAGTACAGGAAAGCATTTTGTTTATTTTTTTACCTCAGTTGCGGTAGTTGAGGTGAACTGTGAGTGGTCATATACCCATCCGTGCTGGCATGGCACCGACACATTTGATCGGTTTCCATACACTAGGGGGAGGTTAGCGTTAGGGTCAAAGTCCAGGGGAAGGGGGTACATCTTGCAGGAGCTGTAGGACCCATCTGCATTATGTGGGATGCCAAGTGCCAGAATCTGTGCCGACACCTCAGCACTGTCCTTCTCTGTGCCAGCTGTGTACCGGTCATCCAAGTGAGGCAGGGCGCAGTGGTGGGGTGGCACACCTGAGATGAAGTTGTGGAGCAGGAAGTGCAGCGGGAGGATGACGCGTGGGAGCCATAGGATGTATAGAACCAGAAACTGGAACTTGTTGAAGCCACCAATTTCATGAAGGATGTCCTCAAACCTCATAGCTGAAAGTGAGATGAGCTGCCAGATAGATTTGATATTGTTCTTTGTTCCTAATGTATGTTCTACTCACCCATCAGAATCTAGATCTTCTTGATGAAATTTGTTCTGTTCTGGAGAAACACTTGGGTAGGTCTGTCATGAATGGTGAGCAGAGAATAGTCTGAGGAGATGTGAAATGCTGAATTGCTATATGTTATTATAACACTCTTCCCGGTCATGCTTTTCAGGGCCTGTATGAGACACAAGAAGGTCTTTGTCTTGGTAAGCTCAAGAAAAGAAGAGTCCCAGGCTTTAAAAGTTCACTTTTAACTTAAGTTCACCTGACTAGCTGGAAAGAGGACATAGAAAATACATTGGTTCCACAATGAGCTTTTTTAGATTGAAAATAGCAAGTGAGATGTCTGTATTAAAGGAGAAAAGCCTTTTTTTCTTTCTGTTGCAAGATTTGGTCAATTTAATTTGACTCTTGAATTTCAGATATTTAAGAAAATCACCAACAGATATAAAAAAAATTATATTTATTTTTTTAATTATGTTATTAATTCATAAAACAAAGATCTGTGGGGGATTCAGATGTGATTTCAGTCACTGTCTGATTCAAACTGGTAAGGAACATGAGCAAGTTTGAATATTTTTAGATGACCGATTAAAAAGAGTCAGTTTGATATAAGCAGTTTAATGAATGAAGTGAGTGAAATGTGTCTTGTGTAGAAAAACAACAACATAACACAATTAAGACTGGATCATTTTATGCTCCTTATTCCAACAAAAATCTTGATTAATATCTCACCATTGTAATAAGAGCAAAAGAGGTGAGAATTGTTCATTTAGAAATAATCTGTACTGACAATTATCAATAATTGTGTGATTTCTTTCATGCTTAGAAAACGAGACAACTCGGTGTAGAACCCACAATATATTCCTTTAACAAAATTAAAACCCAAATACTTTACCATTTCCTTTACCTGATAAAAATAAAGAGGTCTCTGCAAGAAATACTGAAAAGAATATGTACAAGCATACAGCAGTATCATCAAACACGTAACAAGCTAAAGACAAGGCATGCCCATCATCACAAGGTTTACAAAGAGGGCCGAGCTGCAGACCAGAGGAAATTAGTGCATTTGTCCATGGATATGTGGCAGATTTTACAATGTTCTGTGTGTCTAGTGGTGTATAATAATTTGTGCTGGCTAAAAACATGTAATATACTAAATGAAATATGCACAACAGAACAACTCATATACAGTATAGCACCGTGTAAGCTAAATGCAACATTTCCTCTATTATGTTTCAAGAAACTTCCATCAAAGTGAAAGCTCTACATCTTATAGTACAACATAAAATTATTTGGTGCAGAATCCAAAATTGGAACTAGCCATTCATTGATTAGGAAGAACATTAAATTAAATAAAAAAGGTAAATTTTAGTCAATGGGGCAGATTACACTTTGAGGCTAGATGTTCAAGTAATTGAGATGAAACAATCCCAGTAAACAGCAGTCACAGTGTATTATCTGGCTGCAGGTGTGTTGTTGCTTGTGCTTTTTTCCCTTTTCAAGGAAACTGTGTTCTTCGAGTGAGCAGAAGCTTTGGTTCGATTCCTGACAGATGTAGTGGTGGGTTGGTTTGGTGATGATTTGACGTCCTTTGCAGGACCACTGCAAGTAGTAGTCCTAGACTTCACTGGGAGCTCCACAGTGACTCGGAGGGCAAACGGCTGCTTGCGGGATTCGCTAACTGCAGTTCGCAGGGGTAGCCTATGGGGTGAAGGACTAGCTATACGGGTTGAAGAGAAAGTGCAGTTTGCGGTGCTCAAGCTGCGACGGGATGATGCCGGAACACAGGAGAGTGGCATGCGATTGCTTCCACTTGACATGGTTGAGCGGGACAGTGTTGATTTCGATCTTGTGTGAAGTGCTGGAGCACTTGACCCTGATTGTGACGGTACTTTTGGGCTAAGGTGAAAAAAATAAAAAATTAAAAAATAAATAAGTCTATTTAATGTATCACCTTATCATGGAAGAGGATTAAGGCCAAGCAATAATAAAAAATAAAACCATCTTGAGATTAAAGTTATTATAATGCGAGATTAAACTAATTAAATTTCAAGAAAAATGTCTAAAATAAAATCATTAAATTTAGAGAATAAAGTCGATGTGTTTTGAGAAAAAAAACGTGTTCAATTTTAAGAAAAAAAGTCTAAATAAAATGTTGAGAATAAACTCACACAATGAGTTTATTCTCAAAGTATGAGTTTATTCTCAACATTGTATTTCAACTTTTTTACTCTAAATTTCACGTATTTTTTTTTTTGCGAAACACAATGACTTTATTCTCTAAATTGAATGAGTTTATTCTCAACATTTTATTTAAACTTTTTTCCTCTAAAAACTGCAAGTTTAATCTCGCAACATAATGACTTTAATCTCCAGATGTTTTTTTTTTTTTTTTTTATTATTGCTTGGCCCTAATCCTCTTCCGCACTTTATGGTATGCTATCAACAGGATTGAGCAAAATTAGTGTACAAGTAATAAAATTCACTTATAATAAACTAGACTTACCCATTGCTTGCCTTTTGTTCTAATTTTGGAGTCTCGGCTTCAGGCTGGACAACAGGAGCTGCAACTACTAGTTTAGTTGAAGGCTTCCTTATTGGTGTGACTGGTCGTGGGATCCTGCTGTGCCACTCAGTTCGGTACTTTTCCTCAGCCTCCTTCTTGAGCTTGTTGATGGAATCATCAGATTCTGGAATATCTTCCTCTGAGCCTGTAGTTGAAAGAGTCTCTGAAGGTCTCTTAGGCTCATCTCCAGAAGATAACGAGGATGAAGTCCTGGAATTCAGTCTTATCCAGCGACCCTGATGTTGTCTTTCCACAACTTGACGGGCCAGGTCTTGTTGCATGGCTCTTCTACGCAGTCGTTCTTTGGTGGACAATGATTGTTCGGATCCTGGCTCCTCTTCCGGGACTAGGATAGGAATTCGACTTTTGCTCCTTGGCCGTGGATGTTTAGAAACACTCTCAAGTACTGTGTTCTCCTCTTGATGTTCCTCTTTTGGTTGCTTGTCCTGTTTGGAGTCAGTTGATGAATCTCGATGGAGAGATTCCCTAGACTCTAAGGGTAGAGGAACCACAAGATCGTCCTGTTTTTTAGTAATCTCGTTTGGCAAAGACCTATGCAGAACATTAGTTACCTGAGGTCCTTCTGTAAGAATCTGAAAGGTGACTTCATTCTGGACACATGCTACTTCTCCTGGCCCTTGAGAAAGGGAAGACTTATCTATCTCTTTGGCCTGTGATTTTCCTTCAACCTCCTCTAAAAGTTCAGGAACCTGTGCACCACTGGAAGACATGACATTCAGATGGGTTGTCTCTGCAATGTGTACAAAAGTTCGCTCCACTTTGGAGAAAGGGGGTGATGCAATTGAGGCTGAGGCCACATGAGTTGTTGAGATGGTTACCACTGGTTTAGATGTCTGTATGGATGGGTCAACAGCAGTTGCATCAGGCTGCCTTCCATCTGTAGGCCTCTCTGCCTGTTTTATGTCCTCCTGGATCTGTACCTCTAGTTGACCAACTTCATCCAGCTGCTCATTTTGAGGGGCGCCAGATCCTGCCACACCCTGATCCACTTCAGTCCCATTTATAGCATGTGGAGACTTCTTCATGTCTCCTGGTGAAAACAAAACAAGGGTCTTCGAGATGTCCTCTTGGTCAGGATCTACATCAGCAACTGAACCTGGTTCTTTTGGCTCCTTGTGTGGATCATCGGCCACTAAGGTGGATGGAGCCCCATCTTGACTACGTTCAGTGCTCTTTTCGCTCGCACCACTACTAGATTCACTCTTCGTGACATCGTCATCTTTGGGTCCTTCATCTTGTGTCTCAGGTGGTGTGGCCGTGAAGGCCCGTCGCTGGTGTAGGCTTCCTGTAAGCATGACGGTGAGGAAGTCGGCTCTCTTTGCCTGCAGTTTAGGAAGGATATGGAACATTTCCTTCTCTGAGGATGGGGATTTAGTCCTGTAGTCAGTGGGTGACAATAAAGGCTCATTCGGGGTTGGGCCCTAAAAGACAACATACAAATGCAAAAGTTACAATGCTGCCATGTAACGTAATTGTAAGGCAATATAAGAAAAACAATGATAAACTTTTATTCAGTGGGATCTTCCTGGAAAACCTATACCTAATGTATATGAGAATATAATGTACTTCAGAATGGAGTTTCCAACCATTTTCTATACAATCATTCCTATACGTCAACCACACAGCACAACTGATTTTTTTCTCTCTCAAAGACTTTAATTTTGTTTAAATTGTACACAAGCTTTTCAAGATTGTCTAGATTACATACATAAAAAAGGCACAAAAATGTGTTAAAGAATTTTCCCTTTTACAGCAGCCAGTCATATTTTGCTTTTTTTTTTCAAGTGTATCCCAACATACAGGTTTTCTAAACAATACATAGACTAAAACCAACCAGATAACATGCTTTTATGTATACAGGATTCTCTTTCTTGATGTACATACATCCTGTAATTTAAAAAAAGTTTAAAATACATGCTTTACTTGGAAATATTACAAGCGTATTGTACAATGATATTGTGATAGAAAAGGTAATATGCTTATTGTACATCAATCTAATAGATCATAGCCCATTTACATTACATAACAATACCAGACTGTCATTGTAAATGAAAATCTTGATCTTAAGTGACTTGCCTGGTTACATAAAAAGTAAAATAAAACCTTCTGCAACTTATTTTTACACTTTGCTATTTTACAGCACACACTTAAAAATGTTTAAAACACTGTTACCACTGACACATAGTTGTTTTTAATTGCAAATATATTGAATACATTAAATATCGACAACAGTCGGTGCTTGTATCAGCTCTTTTAGAGCTTATCTGTTGTTTTGTGTACATTGTTGCTTTTCAGCTGTGTATCGGTACCAACATAATAGAGTTCATTGTAGTTCACGTGAAGCTTCTCACAGCTTATCTCCCTGCGGGCAAGATTATGCTCCAAATGTCATTGATCCATCACATCTCCATACATTCTACATACATTATATAGAATGACCCTGCAATCAACAATATATCATACAACATGCACATTACAGCTATGATACGGCATTTTCTTTCATATAAAACATGTTATTGTGACAAAGGCATTGTGTATAGGCATAAAGTAAAACTCATTAGACATAAGAGCAGTTCAGTTGGGTGTGACAGAATAAATTACTTTCTTTTTGGTATTTCAGAGCATCACATGCAGATGTTCAGGTACAGATAAACTAAAAGGACTTAGAAAATTGTGTAAACAGTATACATAATCTAAAATAAAATCTTATTTAAAAAAAATAATAAATACATATGGGCCATGCTAACACTTTATAATTTTATTTTGAAGATCTCAAAGATGGAAGAGAGACCTGTTCTCTCTACTGTTCTGCCACTGCTTTTATGCTTCAATGCAAATTTATTTGTCAATTAAATATTCTGAATATTGTCAATTAAATATATTGGTTTCAAAAAGACTTCAAGTTGCTCTGTTAATCCCTTAGTATGTAAATCAATGATCAACATACAATTCATGGAACATAAAGGCATAACATAAGCCATACAAAATTTTCTTACATTTTCAGTTGCTTTCATGAACCAACTTCATTTGTTAGTCATGCAAAAAACAAGATTTTGAACATCATCTTTCCAGGATTTCCTGGTCAACAGACCTGGACAGTCTCAACAATATCGACTTTTCTTGCACCTTTCATTTCGGTGTCATTTCTGTTCAATTACTGCTAAAAACATTAATGTAAACCAGGCAAAAGCAGATGTGCAAAACAAGTGCAAGAGTTAGCAGCCGGTTTGGGTATATAAACAGTACATTCATGTGAGAAGCCATGACTGTGACAGTACCAGAAACAAGTCCTTTTTGAAATGTATCATGCTAAAATACTTATCACTGAAGATGCACAATTCAGTAAATGTGATCATATAAAGGTGCAGAAAAACACTCCAAAACTGACTTGAGTTTTATGCTTGTGTGAAAGTTTAGATTTTATTCTTTCATCATTTCCTTTCCAATCTGCTTCTTTAGCAAAAAAATAAATTAGAGCCATTAAAAAAACGACTAGTTAAAGTAAATGTCTTTTAAAACATGACCATTTCATCTGCTTTCCTGACAAGAGGCAAGAAAAAATAATACATCCACCTTCACAATTCAGTCATGCTTCTTATGTCATATTGCCAAAAGATCTCTGCCTGCTACCACAATAACACTGCATTCTCCTTTCAAGCCTAGGTTAAGCTAAAAAAAACAACTTTAGTCACCAATAACCATAACGTGAAGATTATTCAACGAAGGTGCTATTTAATCACTAAATGTATATGTCCTACTAATGTACATAATATTTCTAGAATATGCCCTTATTTTAAATTCTCCTTTTCAGAAGAAACAGTGGTGGATTTTAATTGAGAAAATG